ATAGAATAGAATAGAATAGAATAGAATAGAATAGAATAGAATAGAATAGAATAGAATAGAATAGAATAGAATAGAATAGAATAGAATAGAATAATTTTAGTTGGGAAGGACCTACAATAATCATCCACTTCAACTGCCTGTTCAATTTAGGGCTGACTCAAAGTTAAGGCCTGTTGTTAGGGACATTGTCCAAATGCCCTTAAGCAGCTTCAGAGGATGTGGGGTTGCTGAATAAGCATAATTAATTCTCATGAAGATAGAGAAGGTAAGTATTATTTTTCCCCAGGCGTGCACTAGAGCCAAGTCTTATCTTCATCCTCATGGAAGCCTCCCACAATGTCATCCCTTTGCAATGTGTAAATAGAACATGCTAAAGGATTCATGAGAAAGCCTCAAAATCAGGGTATGGGGCATGGGGCATAGTTTTGTAGGTGCTGGCAGGTGTGGTCTGGGAGCTGGAGCTCTCCTGTCTGGCCAGGTCGGTGGTTTTTGAGTGTGCAGGACGGAGCTGCCCCTGACTAAAGCAACCTGTTTGTTGTTTCCAGGAAGAGTGGGATCACAGCAGCAGTGGGAGCACAGGATCCCAGCCGGGGTCGGGCTCCAGGCAGGGGTCTGGATCCAGGTCTGGCAGCCACAGGAGAAGCAGCCAGTTCAGGCAATCGACCAAGGTATATCTGATAGTGCTGTGCTGAAGTTGTGTCCCTTGCTTGCTGCTTATTGGAGGCATCCTCCCCACGACATGTTTGTTGTGTGTGTCACACGTAGGTGTGGGTGCATGTCAGTTTTGAAGGGCACTTCAAAGACCTAATTAATTCAGTCATAATGTGTGACCTGTTGAGGTGTGCTGAGTGCCTTAGTATTGGGAAAGAAGTTCCTTAGTCAACTGGTTTAGTGCAAAGCAAGTCAGGGTTTTTTTAATTTATTTGAAGTCTTGGAGTATTTAAATTTTGGGATATTAAGAGATGTCTGTAATTATTTGCTGACAAGTCTTCATTAGAAGTTGATAGATGAGTGGATACCACATAGATGGTGTTGAATGGTAACCTTGAGTGCAACTGCTTTCTGTGTGAGCTGTCTATAGGGCTAGATGGGGAGTCACCTTCCTACTTACCCTGCAAAAGACTGTAAGAATTCACTTTTATCATTTTAGGCTCATCCTTGAACTCAGACCCTGACCATTCCTGTTTGTTTCAATCAGCCTCTGCCCTTTTTTCTCTTGGAGTTTCTCTGCTTACGCACACGGGAGCACTGGTTGTGCCAGAAGTGAAGGGCAGACTCTGGGAGGTTTGGAACCAGTGGTCAAAGTCCTGGTGTGTTCATCCATTTCATCCTCCTGGAGAGCTTAAGGAAACCAGTGTGTCCTCCTGATGCTGTGGTGGGAGAGGACCCACAGGACCAGACTGCTGCTGGGAAGTGGTGGTCCTTTCTGGTGGGAAGGAGTGAGACTCAGCATATCCTTCCTTCTTTGAGCAGGAATAATACTGTCTTCCTCAAAATGTCTATATTTTTATCTGTATTTTTCTTACGAGAGCTTGAAGTTTTCAACAAGGAAATCTTTCATTCGTGCCTTTTCCAGACAGTTCAGTACCTATCCATCCTTTTTGTTCCCTACCAAAGTGCAGCCAAGGGGTTGTGGGCAGCAGAAGAGCAGGAAGGGTGGGGGAAGCTCCTCAAACTTAGAACTGAAAAACGCTTAAGAAGTAACACATGGCACAGGATAATCCCTGGTTTATACCACGGACTCAGGCGACCACCTGGTGTTGTTCTGCAGCGATGAGCTAACACAGCCGTGCAGCAAAGGGCATGACTTTGTGTTTGCTTTCTGGAGGACGGTGATGAGGAGCGGCGAGAGGTGGGACGCTGAGCTGGGCTTTGGGAAGCTGCTGTGTGCATGCAAATGCTGACTTTGTGGGGAATTTGCTGAAGCTGCATGCATGGTAAACAGGCGAGAGTCCACGTGGGGCTGTCCCTGTTTGTGCTGGCAGCTGGGCAACGGTGGACGGAGGTGACGTGAGCTCGCAGGGGCTGGAGGACAGAGGTCGTGGACGTGTGTTTAAACCTCACTACCTGTAGGGTCTGCTTCACCAGATTTCTCATCTCTCTGAGTAGCATTGGTGTTATTCTTGTCAGTGTGCCTCTCGTTCATCATTCCTCGTTAATTAATTTTCATCGGCACTGACTCCTTCGCAGTGAAAATGATTATCTCAAGCTGAGGGTTGGGTCATGGGGAGCTTCACGTTAAAACTGCTGAGGGTTGTAATTGCAGTCCTGGGGGGACTGACAGCAAGTCACTTCTTTTTGTAAATACATGAAGGTTTTTTTCTCTTTTTTTGTACCTGGGCTTGAGAATCGGCTTTTTGAAGTCTTATTATTAAATCTTGGCACTGCTGTGAGCATTTTAGTAAACGACCTGCAGCACAGGGCAGCAAGGATGCTGCCTGTCCTGTGAGTCGAGACAGAAACTGGGTCTAGAGACAGGTAGTCGAAGACCTAAGGGGTGTCTCGAAATGGCCATAGTGACTCAGGACTTAATGACAAGGTGTGTTATTGGGGCCCTGGTGCCATCTGTATGGAGCCTGGCTAATGCTTAGAGTGCCTCTGAGAGGTTATGGGGATATCTTCTCAGAGGAAGTTTTGGGTAAGAGCACCAACTGCTGCCTAGAAGCTTGGACCTGTCTGACCTCCTCATCACTTGAGATGGATTTGTCTGCAAGAAGAGGTATCTCTTCTTTGTGTGACAGCCAGGAAGGCCTGCACATGTGTGTTCTCATTATACTGCATTTGGATGCTTGTAAGGATTTAGGAAACTAATTTCTCTCTATGGTGGGAGAAAATCGTGCTTACATTTGCCTAAAATAAAAAGCTCAGCTTCCGTAACTGATCACGAGAGTTTGATGTATTTCTGGCAGTTTGTTTCTGAGCATGTCAACTTGCAGATCCACAGAGGTTAAAATCATAATCCATAAACCCCTTGGAGGAGACTAAAAAGGGAGCAATTTGGCTGTGTTTGGAGTATGTGATGTCTAAATTGGCTGTTGTGCTGGGACTGGCTGCAAAGTGTGACCATCTGTAGTGTTCCCTGGGGATGTGTGTCCTGACACTGGTTGGGGAAATGTTGCTCATTTGGGTAGATTGAGGTCTGGGACTTTATTAAGAAATTATCAAATTTTTATGAGTGTTTAGTGTCTTGGTTATTACTAATAATGTTTGAAAATGACAGAAATTATACAATGGGGAATATATGGAATCCATCTTCTCTAGCATGTGGGTTTTTTTACCAGAGTGGGACCATTTGGGCTGAAATGCTTAAGTAATCTAAAAATGTGCCTGTTCTTAGAGCAAAGAGAACCATGTCACCACAACTCCTTGAAGAAGAAGGATAGCTTTCCCCATCCTTATTGGTGACAGCAGGCTCTGGTAGAGCTGCTGATGACGAGTATCTCCATCCTTGGAGGTATTCAAAAGCCATCTGGATGTGATCTTGGGCATCTGATTGAACCAGAAGACCTTTAAAGGTCCCTTCCAACCTGAACTATTCTGAGATATTAGGTGGGCCTGCTTGAGCAGGAGGGTTGGACCAGATGAGCTTCAGAGGTCCTTTCCCACCTCAAAAGGTCTGTGACTGTGAAGCTGAGTGACTTCATGGCTGAGATTTTACGAGGATTTATGATTTGTGATTTTTTTTATGAAGTTCAACAGGGCAAAGTGCCAGTTCCTGCCCTTGGGTCACACCAACCCCCTGCAGTGCTCCAGGCTGGGACAGAGGGGTTGGAAAACTGGGAAAGACCCTGTGGGTGCTGGTGGCAGCAGCTGGACATGAGCCCAGGTGTGCCCAGGGGGGCAAGAGGCCAATGGCCCCGGGGCTGTCCCAGCCGTGGTGTGGCAGCGGGGCCAGGGCAGTGCCCTCCCTGTGCTGGCACTGCTGAGGCACCTCCAGTGCTGGGGCAGTTCTGGGCCCTCAGACAAGAGAGACACTGAGGGGCTGGAGCGTGTGCAGGGAAGGGAACGGAGCTGGGGAAGGGTCTGGAGCAGCAGGAGCGTCTGAGGGAGCTGGGGGGGCTCATCCTGGAGAAAAGGAGGCTCAGGGGGGACCTTCTGGCTCTGCAACTCCCTGACAGGAGGGGGGAGCTGGGAGAGGTCAGGCTCTGCTGCCAGGGAACAAGGGACAGGATAAGGGGAAACGGCCTCCAGCTGTGCCAGGGGAGGGTCAGGTTGGACATGAGGAAGAATTTCTTCTTGGAAAGGGTGGTCAGGCCTTGGCAGAGGCTGCCCAGGGAGGTGGTGGAGTCCCCACCCCTGGAAGTATCCAAGGAACTCCTGGACGTGTCACTCAGTGCTCTGGGCTGGGGGACAAGGTGGGGGTCGGGCACTGGTTGGACTCGATGATTTTGGAGGTCTTTTACAACCTAATTGATTCTGTGATTCTGTGGGTCTCAACCTGCCCAGAGGAGCTTGGTGGGTCATGGTGGTCATGGACAGTGGGGCAGGAGGACAGGGCTGGAGTCAGAGCTGAGCCTACGTGTTGTCTGCTCTGTCTTATCCACAGCTTTGCGTTCCCAAGGCTGAAACTGTTTCACTCCTTGCCTTCAGGGTGCACTTTTGCAGCGTGTGAGGGATCTCTGTGTTGAAGTGAGTGTGGATTCACCCAGAAGCATAGGAGACCCTGTGCAGAGCCAGGACACCTCTGTGGCTGGTGTTGGGAGAGGATGTGCTGGGCTGTGCCATGGTCCAGATAGCTCCACGTGCCTTCCAGTGAGTAACCACCTTTCCCTCTCTCCTAGAATGGCAACAAGGAGAGCAACCTTGACATGCTGGGCACAGACATCTGGGCTGCCAACACCTTTGACTCCTTCAGGTAAGCTGGTGTTAAAATGCTTTAAGAGAGAGAGGGACTCTTAGATGGACTGTACCTTCTCTTAGCCTTTGCCCACAGGCCCCTCCTGCTGGTACCTGGGCACCAGTGAGTACCCTGTTAGTACTCACATCGCTCCTCCTCCCCATCCCCATTTAGCCCATGGCTAAATCAGCACAGCTGATCTACATAAATCATCCTCTGTGCTTTGGAGAGACCACTGGATGGGTTTGCAGTCCAAACACCTGAAACCGATACTGATACAATTACTTGTAATCATCTGAGAGCTGCACAGGCAAGACTGGAGTCAGCTCTGAGCTACTGCTCCAGGACTTACTTTTCCATTAGTTGGAGGTACAATCACGTGTTGGCTTCTTAGCTGCTGGGAAGAGCTCTTTACCTCGTGTTTGAGCATGGGGAAAGCGGTGAAAGATGAAGAATCTACAGGGGTTGAGTTATCACCTGCCTGCTCCAGGCCATTGGAGCAGACAGGCTGTGCAGGGCCAGAGAGAACATCTCCATTCCATGGACTGGACCACTACCTTTTGTGATAGCCCTTTCATAGAGAGCAAGTATAGTTTTCAAGGTGTGTGCTGTATCAAAATTAGGGGTTCAGATCGAGCAACAGGAGCTCAGCATATCTAAAAAAGGAGAAAAAAAATGAAAAGAAAGGAGGTGCAGCAGTGTGGAGGTTGGAGGCCCACATCCATGTGCTCTGCAGCAGAGCGTGGTGCTTCCAGAAGTACCAGCTTTCCTCGTCTGCAGGCTCCAGTGTGCCTTCTGCTCTTCAGCTCAGTGGTGTTTAATCAGTACCGGACTTTCTTTCTTTGTTTTTTCCCTGTTTTTCTCACCTAGTGGCGCGACGTGGGATTTGCAGCCTGAAAAACTAGATTTCACCCAATTTCACAGGAAGCTGAGAAACACCTCCAAACATCCGTTGCCTCACATAGACAGAGAAGGGTGAGTGCCCTGTGTGCAATACTGTGCTCTCCAGGAAGGTCTCTTAACTTCTCCCTTACTGTAGGAATGCTAGCTTGGTGGCAGACCTCATGTGGAGGACATGGGAAAAAGGTGCTGGAAAGACATATGGGGTTTGAGGATGCCACAATCAGTCTGGCTGGCTCCTCTGTCATCCAGTGCTGGGCTGGAGCAGACTTGTTCTCTGTATTTTTGTGCTGTTTGGTAGGTTCCAGTCTTTAAATAACTATGGGTCCAAGTCTTCCAGATGCAGGTCTCCTAGATTTAAACATCTCTGGGTACTGGGAGAAAGATCCTGGTTTAACGCTGATCCTAGTTACAGCTACTGTTCTCTCCAACAAGATTTCAGTGAAGAAATGAGCATCAATGTGATTCATGTAGATCCAAGTGCTCATCCCCCATCTGCTAGGCATGAAACTGTGGGAACATTCAACAGCTCCTTTTGCTGGTGGCAGCCTCCATGGACTTCCGTGGTATTGCTGGATTCCTCGTCAGCTGTTGGTTGGTCAAGCCAAATAAATGTGTACTGGCACCAGGTGGATCACCAGTGTTGCTTAAATGGGTATCACTTTTTCTCTGGGGATTCTCTGCAGTTGGAGAAGCAATCACTACCTAAAAGGAGGTTGTAGCCAGCTGGGGGTCGGTCTCTTCTCCGGTGTAACAAGGGACAGGACAAGAGGAAAAGGCTTCAAGTTGCACCAGGGGAGGTTTAGATTGGAAACTAGGAACAGTTTCTTCACAGAAAGGTTTGTCCAGCTCTGGAACAGCTGCCCGGGGCAGTGGTGGAGTCCCCATCCCCAAAGGGATTTAAAAGCTTTGCCATGTCATATGTAGGGATGGAAATCCTCTCTTGGACCAGTTTTTCTGTTGATAAGTTGGTTTTCCCGAAGTACTGGCCAATGGTATGTGCCTGGTCTGCACATCTTGTTTAGAAGACAGAATTATTATTAGAACAGTTGATTAGAAACAGTTAGAAACAACTTGGTGTTTCTAACCAGGCCAGCAATCCCACCCCAGCACAGGCTCAGCACCTGCAGGAGGTCCTTGTACTGCAGAGCGACAGGAAGAGTCACACAACTCAATTGTTTTCTGCAGTGTAAGTAAGATATAATGCAGGTATATGAAGAGCAATTTTCAGAACATTTGGAACAATGGAACACTAAATTTCTAAGTCGCCTTAGTCATGTTTACTCCCATTTCTTCTGACGGGTTTGAAAAACGAGATGAAGGGGCCCTCAGTAAAATAAGATCTAGTATGCTCAGTGGATGACAGCACTTGCCAGATGATGATGTCAGTGACATCTGCTACATACAGGGAGGATGCAGCAGGGTCTGTGTTGTGGTTTTCCTCCACTCCCAGTGTAGTGCAAATGCCCAGGATGCAAACGGGTAGAGAAGGCAGTGTGGAGGTGAGATATTTAATCACTCCTAAGTACTACAGCCATAAAACTTGGACAAGAATTAGTGTATCTGCAGAAAAGTTAAAGAGATGCTGTCAGCACAAGCAGTGCATCTCCCAGAAATGTGGGTCATTCTAAGTAACTTGGCTAAAACAGAGGAAGCACAGACAAAATTGGTTTTATTTTTTAGCTCTTAGTTGGCTGTGTTGTGCATTCATCAGTGCTCTGTGCCAAATCTGTGCTGAGTGTGATTCAGCTTGCTGAACCTCCAAGAATCTCCACCTGCTAGCTAGGCATTTTCTCTCTGGCTTGAATGGGAAGCTTTTTTAACGATGTATTTGTGCAATGAAAAAAATAATAGGGGAAAAAAAAAGCATATGCTGTTCAGCTGTGTTTTCAACACTGTAAGTACCAAAAGGACAGTTTTATTCCTTAGTCTGCTCTCTTACCCAAGACTGGCCATGTAGTTGCATCCAGTTATTTGACCTCAAGGGACTTTTGCTTGGATGAGGTGTTTTCCGCCAGAAAGACATGAATTTTATTGGAAGATGCTGTTTAGTAGTCTGCTGAATAATCGAAGTGGAGTGGTTAAGCAAAGCTGAGGAACTGTACTGACCTGACTCATTTCTGACCTGAAATTGTCTGGCTTTAATTTCCAGTGTTATCTCTTGCTCTGCTTTTACTCTTCCAGATCAAACAACCTTTTGTAGCTGATATTTCCTCTTCATTCCAGGTATCTCTCAAGCCTTTAGTTTTTCTGGTAGTCTGAGAAATTCCTCTACCACCTCTTTGAAACGTGACTGCCAGCGCTTCCTGTGGTCCTGTAGATCAGGCTCAGCCGTTCTGTCTCTAGAGGAAAGCTGCCTTCAACCCCCTAAACCCTGCCTCCTCCTCGTCCCCTGCCTTTATGCCACAGTTTAGCATCAGAAATTCGGCCTGGAACAGTCCCCATCCTTTTCAGATAACCTTTTCCTACTATACATTCGCCCATTCTATACCAGCAACTGGTATTATTTGTCCCCAAATGTTTGACATTTTTCTCTTATGTATAAATGTATATATATATATCAATGCTTATATGTATGTATACGTATTTGTATATGTAGACACATTATATTTTTCCCTTTGTAACTCAAAGTCAGGATTTCATCTATGGTGGAAAGTCAGTTGTTGAACACCTCTGATTTCCTATAACTATAGAATCATAGAATGGTTTGAGTTGGAAGGGACCTGCAAGATCACCTGGTCCAACCCCTCTGCCATAGGTAGGAACGCCTTTGATTAGACCAAGTTGCTCCAATCAGCCAAGGTTAATTGAATTGTTTGCCTTCAGCTTGCTGTTTCTTGAGCCTGGCACTTCAGCACGTGCCCATTTTTTTTTTAATTTTTTTCTCCATTTGCTCCAAGTCCACCAAGATCTGTTTTTCTCTGACTTCTAAGCACTGATTACCTGCATCTGCTGTACCAAAATTCCTATTGTATCTTATTCAATGATGCCTCGTCAAAAAAATACGTTATCATTCTTGCATAATAAAAAACATCATCTCAATTGTTTATAAATGTAGAAGGATGATATTTACTGACCATTTTTAATTCTTCTATATCATCACAAACTCTCTATATCCAGCTAGTAGTTACCTTTGGATTGGGGTTTTTTCCTTTCTTGATACAAGAAGGTCCTTCAGCTGCCAGCTCTGTGTTTGGTGTGTGAGTGCTTGGCTTCTCACCCCAATTTTCTTATCTTCCAAATTGTCTGTTTATGTTTATATCGATTGCTGTTTGCTGTCTGAGATGTATGTTTGTGCTTGCTCGCTGACACCTTTCTCAGCAGGGGAACTGGAGCTCCTGTGGAGACCAACAAATGAGCAGTGCTTCAAAGGAAACCTCTTTCATTACTTTTTTGTGTCCTCACTTTTCTTCTGTCCAGGTGGGTTTCAGTTTTACTTGGTCTGGGAATCGAGTAACCCAACGCCACTGCTCAGGACTGCCTTTGGTTTTCTCACTGCTGCCACTACCAAGAATGTTTGAGCGCTGTGGCAGATGGTGCAGGTGGAGAGGACTGGGAAAAGCATTTAATTTTGTATTAACAGCTTTGCGCCCGCGTGGGAGTGTTTCAGAGGCACAGCATACTCGCCTCAGAGAGCCTCTTTGTTTTCATGAAGGTCCCTTGCAGTAAGAACTGATCTTCCCCATGTGCCGTAATAGACAATTAGCTGTGTCTCCAGCGAGTTTTCACGTGGTTTTGTTTGTTTTCCTCTTGCCACAGGCTTGGAAAAGGGAAATACGAGGATGGTGACAGCATCAACTTGAACGACATAGAGAAAGTGCTCCCAGTGTGGCAGGTAGGTGACAAGGACATCTGCCCATGCTACAGTGGAGACCAGCATTGCCTTCCCTGCCTTGTGTTTCCTTAGGAAACCCCCCTCAGGAGTGGGAAAGCTGCTGAGCACTGGTCCTTTGGGGGCTGGGATGGAGATTGGTGCCTGTGATTTCGGGTGTTAGTGCTGGGCAAGGGCAGTTGCCACGTAGACTTTGTTGGGAGGTGATATGTTGAGGCCAGGATATGTATATATACATATATATATAAGTACATGTACACAGGACTCGTGTGCTTTAGAAAGGGAGATTCTGAAAAGCATCAATCCTCCCGACATCTCCAAAATAAATTGCTGCCAGGAAGCCAGCAGTGCTGGTGTGCTGACCCAGGTGTTTCCCTTTTGGAGTGTGCCTGTGTTTAGATGCCGTGATAATCCATGTGCGTGCTTTCTCCAGCCTATTCCTTCTCCAGATCTCTCTTTACGGCCCAGTCTGACGCTTGGATGTTGGGGAATGGCAGGATGAGACCCTCAGTTAAAAAGTCAGATTGAATAAGTCCATTTGTCAGCATCGTATAATTTTTCATTTTACAGAGCCCTGGTCCTCCAAGAGTGTCCTGGGCTAGGCAAGTTCTGAGGATGTTTGGTGTGCTTTTGCTGAAATCTCTGCCTCCAGAGGGAAAGACAGAGACATCTCATGTGCTGTGGTAGCATTACCCTTTTCAGTGCTGAGCCAAGAGCTCGCCAGGCTTCTTGCTCATGCATCATGTGAGGAATAGCTTTGCTCATCCTGCAAACCATGTGATGATCTGCCTTACTGTTTCTTTTGGGTGAGCTGTTTGGCACTAAATACACGAAGTAGTGGAAGGAGTGGAGAAGTGCTGCTGACTTTGGCAGGGAGGAGCATTCCCTGCAGCTGCTTCCTGCTCCGTCTCTTCCATGTTTGGTGTGTCTGGACTTTAGGTCACAGGGAGAAAACATCAGGTTCAGCTGGTACAAACCCCAGTAATTCTACAAAATAAGGTTAGTTTTCCCCAGGGAATAATTGGGAAATGAGGAATCAAACCATCTTTGGTGCGAGGAGCCGATTTTCTTCAAGAGGGTTTTAATGAACAGCTATTAAATAAGCCGAGTCCTCCTGGTATGGTTATCATCTCACTGTGCCCTAACACCAGGTTGAGTCCATCGACTCCAATGAATTAATTGCAATATATACCTTAATATTTAGCTTAACTGTTAGTGTGACATTTCTAAGCTGGAGGACCTAGTGGGAATGCTGGATCTGGTGTTTTGTTTGTGCCCCTGGGCAGACCCGTGCAATGCTGCGTTATTTTGGAGACGTGCTTACCTTGGCATGTGTGTCTGTGGGAATTAGGAGCCAGGTAGTTCTGGGTGAGGATTTGTCTTTTTTAATGCCGACAAGTGAAATACTTGCAGACAGCTGGTCTAATCCTCACATGTCATTGTTAACTGGATTTGAATGCAACCGTGCAACGCTGACGGAGATTTTTCTGGTCTTTATCCCTTGTTTGAAATGGCTCTGTGGAGCAGTGTGTGGGGGCATAAGGGAAAGTATTTGTGTGAGACTATGGAAGGAAAATCGTTAACCTTCCATGGGGTTGTCCCATGATGGGGCTTTGTTTGTTAGGTGTCATGATGAAGAGGCTTTTCAGGTTGGAGATACATTAGCTCTTATTCTGTCTGTGTTTAAGAGCTCCTGGCTTGCTTACAGCAGCCATGCACAGGCAGGGGGGTCGGTCTGAGCATCCTCCAGTGCCACTGGGGTGGTCTGAGAACCCTCCAGTGCGACTGAACCAGTCCAAGCATCCTCCATCACGACTGGGGTGGTCCAAGCATCCCCCAGCACAACTCAGATGCAAATGTTTTGCTGCTGAGTGTACTTCAGCAGCTGTAGAAGGGTTAAAAGCAGTATATTTGAGAGAGGTAGCAGGTCTTACTTGCAGGCTTCTTTGAGATTTGGATGCCTTTGATATTAAGGTATGATAGACATAGGACATGAATCTTGAACTAATTTCAGGTATACATCCGGATGTGTATGTGTATCTCTACAGAGAGATGCAGTGACACCCCTAACACGTTAAACAGAATATTCTGGGTATCTGGGGGCTAAGCAGGCTGTTCTGGGTATCTGGATGTTAATATGTCTATGCATGAGTTTTGCTGCTCGAATCTATCAATAGAATTTTAGAAAATATTGCAAGGAAAGCCTCTGACTGTTTGGCAGTTAAAGGGTGAAAAAATAAACAAAACCCCCCCCCCAAACAAAAAACCTTCCCGAAATCCTCTTCTTTTGTTTGGAAATCAGAGAATGCTCCCTGGGGCTGCTCTCACAGGACAGCCCACTCTGCCATCTCGTGGACATGCACAGGCAGGTGAATCCAGCTCCACAATTCCTTCACCACAGCTGGTATTTTGAAGCTTTCTTCCGCTTTTCTTCCATCTTTTCAAAACTCATCTGACATGCTGATTTTTACTGGTAAATAGGTTTTATTTCTGAAAGCTTCATCGCTAGGAGCTCATGAGGTCATTGCTTTGGCTCAGCTCATGAGCTGTAACCTCTTCATCTCTCCTTACTCATAAAAGTCTATAGTTGGATTTGGGCACTAATTCACCAAAGTGCTGCCAAAAGGCTACTCTTTTGAAGATAAATGTTCCCTGTTCATAAGAACTGCTCTTTATTGCATACCAGAGAGGATCAATTTGCTGCATTAGAGAGGCGCAGCTCAGGTGCAGAGCTGCTCGTCATCATCTTCTCCGTTTGCACCTCAGCTGGTTTGTTGAAGGAGACCGCATAACCACGTTGATGTCATGAAGACGTCACAGGGAGGGCTGAGTCAGTGCCTTTTGCTCTTGCTCCCTTTGGCAAACGCTTGGGAAGGCTTTCAGTCTTGGATGTGTCATAGCCGAGTGCTCCAGTCTTTACGCACAGGCTTCAGACTGAAAGCCCTGGGCACACTCTATACTTACCAGAAAAAACAACCTAAGGGGTCATGTCCTGCAAGATCACAGGATCATGGAGTGGCTTGGGTTGAAAGGGACCTTAAAGCTCATTTCATTCCACCGGCTGCCATGGGCAGGAACACCTTCCACTAGACCAGGTTGCTCCAAGCCCCATCCAACCTTGGGCACTTCCAGGGATGGGGCAGCCACAGCTTCTCTGGGCAAAATCCAACCCCCTCCTTCCTGTAAAACTCATGAAGGATACAGGAGGCTGCATGTCACAGGGATGTGCTGTGAATGCTGCTAGACACGAGCAGAGAGTTTTAGGACATATCCCAAGTGGTTTCTGGACTGGTGTCTCGCAGTGTTTGGCTTTCAATTTGCTGGACTCCTGCCTTCAGGATGGGCTTGCCCTCCTCAGAACTCTGGGGATGTGCCTTTGCTGTCCAGCTGTGTGGCACTTCTGAAAGGCATATTGGGCTTTGCTGTTGTAATGGGATAAACTTGGAAGGCAGCATTGATATCATTTGGTTTGGCACCTTACTGCCTTGCAGCTCATCTCCTTCCATTTCCTTACTGATGTTTGACCCTTTTTGTCATATGCTTGCAGTTACAATAAACTGCTTGTTTCTCTTCTGGCTGCAGTCGTCATCCAGCTTCCTTGCTGGATGAGAACCAAGGGAGCAGCTCCTTCGGAGAAAGGCAGACTCTGTAAGTTGTTCTTGTTCCTCTTAGCACCACTGTATTCCTGATTTTGTCCAAACAGGGTTAGAAACACCATGATTCCCAATCATGCTGGGATACCACCTGAATTTAGGCACCTACAGGCATCTCTGCCTGCTTTCCTCGGGACCCCTCCTCACTGACAAGTATTTTCAAGTCAGACCCTAAAATTGTGGGAGGGCTGAGATCCTGTGAGTAAAGGTGGGACCTGTGCATGGATTGCTCGCTTGAGATTCCTGCCCTAGCCAAGGCATGGACACATTGGGATGTGATTTGTGGCACCTCAGTGTAGAGGTCTAGGAAAGTCTGGATGATTCCCATCTGAGGGTACCCACGTCCTTTCCCTGTCAGCTCTGCAGGGTGCCTAGATGGACCAGCTCAAAAGTGGACTTGGTCAGATATGGATATCTCTCCCTGAGAGAGATGAAGCCAAGCCAGGTGTCCAGGGAGAGAAGGGTTGGATCCCCTCTGCTGTCACACTGCATGTGAGAAGGTGGGATCAGTGTCCAGCACTGATGTGAAGGGCTTGCTCCTGGAGCCTGCAGATCACTGGCCCTCCCAGGGTGGTGGTGGCAGGGCACCAGGTCTCTCTGGAGCTCAGGGATATCTCTTTGGTGGGATGGTGTTATTTACTGTCACCATGTGGAGTCATCCTCTCCACATCGTCTCTTGCTTGATCTTTCTGCACTACAAGGTCGGGCAGTTCTTGTTTTACCCAGCATGTTGGGCAGCTCAGATCCTTCCTCTCCCAGTAGGCTGTTCCACACTGGTGGAGCCGGGTTGGGCTCGTCCCTCTGGCATCCCCTCCCACTGGGAATGACCTGGTTGATGTGGTGTGGGCCCCTTGTGCTCTATGTCTCTGCTGTCACTCATCAGGTCTAACCCTGATGTCCTTTATGTCTACATCAAACCCTTATGAAGAAGTCGGGGTTTCTCCCCGGGAGCCCCAAAACAGAGATTTCTTCTCCTCACCCCCAGTTCTTGCTGGACTCTGTCCAGAACATGTAGGCATGGCATTGCTTTCAGAGAAGGTTTCTTGTCTGAAAAGCCCATATCCCAAGGGTGTTTCCAATACTGTAACGGCTAAAACCACTGTGGAAAGTCCCTGTCAAAGAGCCAGGGTTTACTTGAGTATAGGTCACAACATATTGGAAGTCAGAGTTCTACTGCTGAGTAAAAAGCTTTTGGTTTGCCATGGCTTCCAGTAAGTCACAGTCTTCCTGTGGCCTGTGTTTTGTTGGTTTTAACCCAACTGACAGTGACCATCACTTTGGCTTTCAGTTTGGAGAGGGAAAACTGCCATGGTCACCTGTAACCCCTTCAGCATCACTCCCAAGTCAGAG